TTCCTTCCTTCCTTCCTTCCTTCCTTCCTTCCTTCCTTCCTTCCTCCCTTTTGTTGTTGTTGATGGTGGTCGTGGAACTTGAGGCCTGGGCACTATCCCTGAGTTATTTTTTGCTCAAGGATAGCACGCTATCACTTTGAGCCACAGTGCCACTCCCAGTTTTCTGGTGGTTAACTGGAAATAAGAGTCACACAGACTTTCCTACCCAGGCTGGCTTTGAACCATGATGTTCAGTTCTCAGCTTCCTAACTAGCTAGGGTTACAGGCATGAGCCACTGGCGCCCAGCTGTATTATTTCTTTGTAGTACAAACATTCAAAGTCCTTCCTTCTAGCTTTTTTGAAATAATGGTGTGAGTTTTCTTTATAGGTAGTTACACAAGAACTTCAGACTCCTGTCTAACTATACCTGAGTACCCAGGACCAACCTCTCATCAACAAATTGGGTGAAAAATGGCTTGGACCTACTTCTACCATGGGCAGCCACCCACAGTGTATGGGCAGCACAGGACTTCCCTAAAGCCTCCCCCTAAACAGAAAAGAGGAGTTCTTCAATTAACAGAATCAGCCTTCACGTGGTAATAGCTTGCTGTAAGATAATATATAACAACGCATATGTTTCTGAATTTTGTATACAGCTGCCCCTTTACAAGTAGAATTCAAAACTCCAATTTTACGATTTACATTTAAATTACAAGAAGACTTCTGATCTGGTCTTTGAATCAAGTCTCTCATTCATTAAATCAATTGTATTGGCTAAATCAAGAAGCTTATGTGGCTCTTGCCGGCAATCTTAGCTACTCAGGAGGCTGAGATCTGAGGATCACTGTTCAGAGTAAGGGAGGCAGGAAAGTCTCACTCTCCTATCTCCACTCAACCACCAATAAAGCCAGAAGTGGAGCTGTGACTCAGGTGGTAAAGAGCTAGCCTTGATTAGAAAAGCTAAAAAATACAGCACCCAGGTTCTAAATTCAATCCCCAGTACCAGCAAAATAAATAAATAAAGTTGCCTAACAAAAATGGAATTTTACTTTTAAAAAAAAGCCATCAGCCCTTCTTTATGCTGAATATGCCAGAGATGTTTTAATTTCTTCAGATTCAGGACAAAATTAACCTGGACAAAATTCAGGACCAATTGTGGCAGCCAATGTCTCTGCCCTTTCTTCGGTGGCCTTCATTCCAAAAGCTCCCACCCTTCCAACAAAGGGAAAAACAACCAAGGAAGGAGGGTGGATCTCAGGTACAGAGAGGATGGGAGGATGGTTTGAGTCTGGGAAGGGGCAGGTTCACACCTCCTCCCAAATACTGCCACATTCATCCCACCAGAAAATAACTGATCTTACAAAAGAAAGGAAGCTAGAAGCCTTTAATCCTAGCTACTCCAGAGGCTGGGATCAGAGGAGGATAAAGGTTCAAAGCCAGCCTGGGCAGGAAAATCCAGGGAACTGTTATCTCCAATTAATCGCCTCAAAAGCCAGAAGTAAAGTTGTGGCTCAAGTGGTTGAGCACCAGCCCTGAGTAAAAAAATCTCAGGGATAATTCCCAGGCCCTGAGGTCAAGCTCCAGGACCAACACACACACAAAGGATGAAAGAATGAGTGAGTAAAATGAAAACTACACCAGTCACTTACTTGCAATAGTGCCAGCCCACCAGACAATGTCTGTTAAATAGGAGGTACCTGTGAAAGAATAAGAAGAACATCAGTGAAGTAGATTACAGGCTACACATGTAACTTACATAAAAGGTTGCCAAGACATACTTAGAAACTTCACGTGAAAACTAATACTGAAAAGAATAATGAATGCCATACCATTTTTATTAGCCTATTAGGGGTAGGGTACCATTTATCTGCCAAGGGCCATTTGGCATATGATGTTAACTGGTATGGGCATTTATGTTGCTATTTTTAAAAAGTCCCAACCCAGGTGCCATGGCTCATGCCTGTGATCCTAGCTACTCAGGAGGCTGAAATCCAGAGAATGGCAGTTTGAAGCTAGCCCTGACAGAAAGCCTGTCTCCAAAATAACCAGCAAAGCTGAGCACAGGCGGCTCTGTCCTGTTAATCCTAATGACTCCAGAACCTGACGTCTGAATCATGGCTTGAAGCCAGCCAGGGCAGAAAAGTCCATGTGATTCTTATCTCCAATGAACCACCAAAGGTGAGCCAAAGGTGAAGTTGTGGCTCCAGTGGTAGAAGGCCAGCCTTGAGTGAAAAGCTCAGGGACAGTATCCAGGCCCTGAGTTCAAGCCCCCATACCAGCATAAATAAAATAAAAATATATCAAATAATTATAAATTATAAAATAAGTAACCAGTTTTTTAAAAAAGTCATCTTAGGGGATGTGGCTCAAGTGGCAGAGTGCCAAGAAAGCAAGCTGAGCAAGTTTTAGTCCCTGAAATCAAACCTCAGCATTACATACATACATACTCCACTTCCAATTTTGTGGTGGTTAATTGGATGTAAAGAATCTCATAGATTTTCCTGCCTTGGCTGGCTTTGAACCGCAAGCTTCAGATCTCAACTGCATGAGTAGCTAGGATTATAGGCATGAGCCAATAGTGTCCAGCTTAAAATCAACTTTTTTTTTTTCCAGTCCTGGGGCTTGAACTCGGAGCCTGGGCACTGTCCCTGAGCTTCTTTTTGTTCAAGGATAGCACTCTACCACCTGAGCCACAATGCCACTTCCAGCTTTTTCTATTTATATGGTACTAAGGAAGGAAGCCAGGGCTTCATGCATGCTAGGCAAGCCTTCTACCACTAAGCCTCATTCCCAGCCCTACAATCAACTTTTGATGTTGTTGATTTTCTTTCTTTTCTAATTCTTAATTATTCCCACTCTCTTGTTTGTTATTTCCTTTGAGTTTCATTTGTTCTTTACATTCTAGTGCTTAAGGTAGACAATTAAGAGTGCTGAATTTGTCATGCAGTATTACTCTCTTCCTCTCTCTTGCCATTTTTATAGTTTTAATGGATTTTATTATGCTACTTTTACCTGCACATAAAATAGTGCAGCCATATTCCTATTCCCATTAATTTCCCCTTGCCTCATCCCCACTTGTCCCTCCAAACAATCCCCCTTTTACATTGATATCATACCTATATATACATATATATACACACACATACATAGCCATATACATGTACGTGTATGTGTGTGCGTGTGTGTGTACGCGTGTACGTGCGCACGCACCCATGTGTAGGAAGGGAGGGAGAGATAATGAGAGGGGAGGTTAGATTCTGATTTCAGAAAAGCTTGTAGCCTTATGAAGCCAGGTAAGTTCTGGCTGATCTTCCTTAAGTTCCACCCGTTTTCCTCCAAATGACATTTAATTTCACTCTTTATGGCTGAATAACACTCTGTTGTATATAGAAACCATTTTTTCTTAATCCATTCATCAGCTGATTGCTAATCACACAGTTGCTATTTAAAGGAATGTTTCCTATATTACCCCCAAACACACTGATCTCATGATCGGAAGACTGGTATGAAAAACCCTGAGGACTGGTCCTCCCAGCAAAACCATCATCACTAACGAAAAAGATATTCTCAAATATATGAAAAGTCTGGAATTTATCAGTGTCTGTCTCTTTTTTAATTTTTTTATTTCAGTAATTTCAGTCTACTTTTGGGGGGGACGAATTGGGAGGCTTGGTTGGTCTAGCAAAAGGATTGTCAATTCTGTTCATTTGTTCAAAGAACCTTCTTTTTATTTACTTATTTTTGTCTGTTGGCAGTGCTAGAGATTGAACTCAGGGCCTTCTGCTTGCTAAGGCAGGCTCTCCATCGCTTGAGCCACATCTCTAGCCTATTTTTTTTTTTTATCAGTCATGGGGCTTGAACTCTGGGCCTGGGCACTGTCCCCGAGCTCTTTAGCTCAAGGCAAGCACTCTACCACTTGAGACACAGCGCCACTTCTGGTTTTCTAGTGGTTTATTGGAGATCAGAGTCTCATGGACTTTTTTGCCTGGGCTGGCTTTGAACCATGATCTTCAGATCTCAGTCTCCTGAGTAGCTAGGATTACAGGTGTGAGCCATCAGAGCCCAGCTTCTAGCTTATTTTTACACTGAAGGAAGAGGATTCCTTCCTCTCTTTCAGCCAGGTGCTATTGGGCATTGGCTTTTCCTATTTATGTCCTAAAAACACTGGGTTCCTTCCATTTCACCCAGGGAACATACCACTGTCTGTATAGCTTCTAGAATCACCCAGTACCTTCAGGAAATGCCTGTTAAAGCTCAGCCCAATCCCTCTACTTTCCAGCTGAGGCCTGACTTCTATCATTCTTCAGATCCACATTGCTCAGAAAGAACAGAGATCTACAGAACTGAAGAACACTGGGGACTCTTGTTTGTTTGTTTGTACATACTTGTGCTTCCTCCCTCCACTCCCAGGTGCCAGAGGAAACAAAAATCAAATCCAAGGACCTTTCCCTCACCAAAAACCTGAGTTGCTGAGAGTTGTTGTTTATGAGGGCTGAATGATAAGACAAAGAAGTATTTGTGCAAATATGAAAGAGACAAGATGGTTAAAAAAAAAAGCTGGCAGTTACACTGTACAATCACTGGCTAATAGCATCTAAGACCTTCTGTTTAATTATAAACACATAGAAGAAACTCTTTGAAACTATGGATTTCTAAGTGTAAAATACAGATGATCTTCTAATTTATTTTTTTGGGGGGTCTGGTCGTGGGGCCTGAACTCTGGGCCTGGGCGCTGTCCCTCAGCTCTTCAGCTCAAGGCTAGCGCTCTACCACTTG